TTTACTAGAACTAAATGAAAATATGACACTAAATAGGACGCAATGGAGAAAAAGGATTCATGTAGCCGACCCCACGTAGTGGGATTAAGGCTTTGTTGTTGTTGTTGTTGTATATAAATTAATATTAAAGTTTAGATGTTAGATATGCAAACATAAAAAAATTGAATTGTATGTATGTAAATTATTTCTTATTTTCTTCATAAGAAATCTAAAAAATCAACTTTGCGCGCATCATGGAGCAATGCAGTGTCTTTGCCCATGCACAACACAAATAGAATGCACCATTTTAATTTGCCGCACTGTGCCATACGACGCAAAGAGTGTACCACAACACACCATATATGCTATAATGTGTCATTCTGTGCCATTGGCATATATGTATCAAGCCCAAAAACCCCTATGAATAGTCATGCATCTCTCAATTCAAAGTCAACAATGAAATGGCATGAACATTGAAGGCCAAAATTTTCCTGTCCACCTAGCGCATTCCAGGGATACGAGGTGTGGTCTCCAATCCACTAACAAATCAATCATGCCCAGCACCATTCTCAGTTTTCAAAATTATCAACCTCAAATGAGGTGCCCAACTGTGTAGCACGTCATGAGGGTTGGACTAAGCATCCTAAAGCCAGCTTCCTTTCGAATGGATCATTAATGAAATAAAACAATGGCAAAAAATATACTGCCGGACCAAAAGGAGAAGCAAAATTCCGAGTTGCAGCATCCACCAAAATTCCATCAGGCAGTTTAATTTCGAAACCTCAAAAACAGTTTGATATAGATAGTATATAACATATCCAGAAGCAGACCTGCCCCAAATCAGATGAACTTATAATCAAATTGGAGAAGAGAAGACATCAACAAGAGCAAGAAGCATCTCATGCAAATATGGCATTAACAAATGATCCCCTGCAGAAGCAACAGAAAAAAGACCGAGGCATTATCTCTCAGACAAGCCAGCAGCCATCAACCACCAAAAGCTATTGTCTAAAAAATACGCAGGAAGTCTGATGACAACTAAAGAGCAGAACGTGAACTACATAAAGGGAGGTGGAAGAGCCCAATCTGCAGCAGGGAAATTATAAACGTGCGCCAATACAGGATCTTCATTCATAATTCCATTCCAGGCCAGATCCAGCAACTAGACCTAAATCCATGATAAAAGCAAAATCTCATCCAAATAAGGCCTCGCCCAGGTTGAACTTCGTCTTACTCAGACTTACAGCCGGTAACATAAGGGGCAGATCTAAAGACCATGGAACAAGGCATCCCTCTCCGAGAAAGACAAACAAGCCCTAAAACCTGTATCCCCATCTTCTTCTCTCAATTTACAAAGCTAACTCCAGATCGCAAAACAAGACCAATCTCCGGAGCAAAACCAGCGGATCCACTGTGATCGGAATGGCAGAACACTATACTTTTCCATCAGCCGAAAAACAAGCTGGCCAAGCGCATCCATCTCTTGTGATGACAAACCAACCAAAAAACAAACACAAATCAAAGCTAGGGTTTCAATACCTGGATCCAACCGAGGCTTAGCAGGCTAAGAGAAAAGAGACCAGTCCGCTATCATCTCTTTCCATTTCGTGTTTGCCTTGTCCCATGCGATGATCCACTTCCTGATAATCCACTTCCCCTTTCCGCTGACTCTTTTCTTTCATCCACCCTAATCTTCTTCTTCCGCGTTCGCCTCCGGTAATCTTTAGAAAATTACGCAGTGAGAGAGGGAGACTCGTTCCTTGCAATGTTTCCTTCCCCGCCTTTCCTTTTCTCGCACGCCAATCCTTTCTTTTCCGCCGATCCTCCTCTTTCCTCTTTGTGGCTCCCAACCTTCTTCCCGTCTATGTGTGAAAGCCCTCCCCGCCCCATGACCACGTATGTATCGCATCGGGTTGGGGGTAGTGGGGCCTATTTAAGGCCTTTTTCCAAGTTAGGCCCATAATTTACGATCTCCTAAGCCGCTGTCAAGGGTACATGGTTCGGTTCGGTTCGGTTCGGTTCGGCATTGAATTTCGGTTCCGGCCGTCTGTTCAGTCGGGCATTCGGTTCGAGAATTAGGACTGCTTCAAGCGTGATTTTAAAAATTGAATCCATATTGACACGATAAAGAAAATAGCTCAAGATTTAAATGTTGAATCTGTGTTCAATCATGAGTTCAATTGAATGACATGATAAACTAAAAAATTATTTAAATGTAATATGATAAATACTTATTATTTAAATGACTAATATTATAATAATTTTAGCATATATTTTAGAATTTAATAATAATTAATTTTTAAAAATATTTAATATGAAATATGAAATTGGGATAATAATAATTAAAAAAATATTTAGACTATAATTATAATTTTAAAAGGACATTTAAAATTTTTAAAAAAATTAACTTGTGTCTGTTGTATTATTATTTTCTTCCTTAAAACTTCATTTTTAATTTCTTGCCCTCTTTGGCTCATTCTCTGATGTCTTCTCCATTGGAAACTCTCCATGCAGAGCCTTTGTGATAGATCTCATTAATGACCTCGAAGAGCTTTATGACTTTCTCCTATGGAAGAAGAAAATTCAAAAACTCTCCATGTGGACGACAACGAGGCGATCACAGAATAGAAACTCGTAAGCGACTCGAGCGGTTTTCTGGTTGGACATGTGGTTTGAATGGTTCAACATCGGTTCACAGAAAACCCGAATTTTACTTGTATCAAGACTGGTACCACACTCGGTTCCCGGTTGGACCAGTTCGGTTTTCAAAATAATGGACATTCAAGTGACTAGATGAAGCCATGATCGAGAACTTGTGACTCTTGAGTGGATTATTTGCCAGATGTATTTCATAAAGTAAATGAGCATTATCAAGTCTCATTTAAGCAAAAAATTATGTTGATTTTCTTAAATCCAAATCTATCATGTGAATCACATCCAATTAATAAAGCATAAAAACAGAAGGGAGAAAGAGAAAGACAGAGAAAGAGAGTGCAATCTAAGAATATGGTTCTTTTATAGATCATCGATTAACTCTCTATTGTAAAAATGATCAACTATTTATAGGCAATGGAGTAAATGTGAAAAATTACATGATTGCCCCAAATTTTATTGGTGTTTTACAGGGTATTTAGGCATATAGAAAATAAGGAACCCTATGGTTAGACTATCTTATTATTCAGTTGACGTGGACCTATAATCCTTGGGTCTCTCAGGCACACTCGACCGACTCTATTATCTTGAGGCGATCAGTTGGCCCTGATGGTTCTTTGGTTATCTAGAATTTGATCAATCGCCTGAAGTTCATTCAGTTGTCTTAGATTAGTCAGTCGGTTTTCTAAATCTGATTGTCAACCTTGTATGGGAAACTCATGTTGTCGGGGTAGAACTAGATTGTCAGGAGGGTGAATCAACTTAATCTAACAGGTAGTCTACCCATTTTGATAAGAGATATATCTAGAGAGCTGAATGAATATTCGATGATCAGGCCCTTGAGCCTCTGAAGTGTCTTGGAGGCTCTTGTAGGACATCTGATGATATTTGGACTAGAGTTGGAATAGTTTCTTCTCTCAGTTAGATAAGTTTTGATCTATGACCCAAAGAACCTTCACTTGGTCAACCAGACTCCTACCCTAAGGGAGACATGAATGGTCAACTGGATCCTTTGGTTTTCCACTGACGTGGTTTTTGCTCCTTTTGATGGATTATCTTTGACTGTAATTTTGTCTTCTAATCCGTTGGATTTCCTTGTGATTTATGTTGATGCATTTTTGACGTATAATTTTGATCATATTTTTGAAAAATTTGCATACATATCACACATTTCTTCTCTATTTATATATTGACACCCAAATTTTGATATTTCTACATAATATTTTGGTGTCATAAACTTATTCATGAAAATATATATTTCGCTTTTATAAAAAAAATTATGATGATGATTTTTTGATTGATGCTAAAGATTTGATAAGTGGCATGCATGTAATTTGAATGCTTAGCTGTTAAATATATAAATACATATGAATCATGTGGTATGTACATAAATACCCTTTTTTGTAGTCTTCAAAGGTCTAACAACCAAGCACGTCCTCACTAACAAGTACATGGGCATAGTGGTCCCCAAATTCACCAACACAGAATCATAATAGCAAGATAAATCTTCACCATTTACTTGTATTACTGCAATTATTAAGTTACCCTCACTAGCCTCCATATAATGATACATTGTATTAACATTTGTATAACTTTATGCATACAACAATATGTACATAACTTTGGCAACCTAACAATAACAACTTCTCAGTTCCTTTATGATATCATAGCCTTCAACGTAACAACCCTCTTTTCTCATAAAAAAAAGAATGGATTCAACCTCCTTCACTCCAACTTCACACAACTAACAAACCAACCTCTCCCTAAGAAAGCAAACATAAACTAGCATTCTAGCCTCTCTTAAATCTTTAAGGTCACATAATAAAACTATACAGTCCCCCCCCCCCCCCCCCCCCCCCCCCCACTTACAAATGAAAATTATCAAGAATGAAAACATACACCAAAGTACTCACAACCAATGGATTCGAAGCCTTGATGGAGGGAACAATTCTCTGCCCCCCTAAAAACCTGCATCATTGATTCTGATTCTTAGAAAATCAATCTAAATTACATGTTTTGGCAACTCATGAACAAAATCTAGTTGATGCAATGCTCTTGATTATCTCCAATTTGATTCTTTTTTATGTTTACACCCTAAAATACAGTAGTCATCTGAACAATACCATCAAAGAGGTTGCAATTGACTAATAGATGTCAATTCATAGAACTAAAGAATAAACTTCACCACATTATAATAGGTACAAACACTATGACTCAATACCTTAAGATAATCAAAACATTGGTAGGAAACATAACTCTAGCACGCTTTAAGTTGTATAATAAAGACATAACACCCTATAGTCTTAATGAGCTTCCAACAACATACAATGCCTTCAAGGCACCAATTAGAACTCATTAGAATCTTATTAGTAATGATGGCTTTTATTCTCTTTTCTACACTGAGAAAATTGTTCTAGTTAAGAAAAATATCAAGGAAGCTCCTCTCATAACACTCAACTACCTCTAAAACCTACTCTGTTTCATATCAATTATGCTAAAACAATTAAATACCCTTCCTAAAACAAACCAAATTCACTACTAATGGATTTTGCATAAAGGATCAAGCCACCAAGAAGATACACCTCCATGGGCCTAATAGTCAAGATCTCTATCCCATCATAGCCCTATACATTAACATAAATTCATCCAATTGACACCAGCCCTACAACCACCCTCACTAGTAGGTTACTGTCTCATCTCCAAAAATAATCTAGCTCTATATATCTGATCCACCTTAAAAATACTTATTTTTATGAATATTTTATGCTCAATTTTTGAGGATATTATGCTTTAATGAAAGATATTTTTATATTTTTTATTGCAGGTGCAAGAAAAAGAGCTTATAAGTAAAAAAGCGCAAAAATACATAAAAAAACAGCAAAATGGGCTAAACTAAAGAAAAAACTGCAAACCAGCCGAACTGATGCTTAGGCACCAGATACAGAACTTGGCTAGGGCCTAGGCGCGATGGTTTAGCTTTGGTGCCTAGGCGCCACAGTTATTTTCTAGAAAATTCATTGAATGAGGTCGTATTTTGAAGAGATGTCTGAAATAACTCTTGGTCCATTTTTGAAGCTCTATAAATATGGATTAATTCGAAGAGACAAGGGGGGTTGGATATATAGAGTCACATAATGTGTGATTATGTTAGGTGTGTGAGAAGTTTTCTTTGTGAGTCTTTGTTATTTCTGGAGTTTGTGAGTCATGTAAGTGTTCTTGGAGTCAGAAAAGTCAGAGAACTTCAAAGGAGTACTTGGGGGAACATTCAAGATAAGTATTTGTATATATGTCATTAAGTTTTGTACTTTGGATTTGAGTTTTATAAATATGGTTTTATAAATATGTTTTATTTTATATGTTTTATTTTATTATCCCCATGCGTTTTGAGTAGTTTTCTCTCTTTCTCCTTGCAATATGAAGTAATCAAGCAAGTGATTTTGATAGTATTTAGAACTTCTTTTATTCCTAAAATTGTGATGATATTTTTACCGGATCTTCATTTTCTTTATAAATTGGTCAATTGTATTGTTAAAATTTGTTAAGAAAACTTATAGACCCGAGAGGACTAAGATTTTTTAACTTGTAAGTAACACATTTCACCTTGGAAAGAGTAGTGGCGATATTCGTTGCAGCCTTAAGTAAACTTGATTTTCATATTTAGCTTTTTGCTGCACTCTTAAGTAAAGTTCTCTTAACATTAAAATTTCTGGATTTCATTTCATTTCTTTTCGTTTACGCTTTCCCTGCAGGATCGATACTGGGATTTTATAGAAAATCATATATTACTTGAAACAATACTTATACTTGCGTAGAACGCCTAGCGAGAAAATTTTTTCTTTAAATTTTATTATGATACATTTGTTCTCACTAGTCGCTAAATATAATTTGAGTCAAGTTTTTGGCATAATAAGAAACATAAATATCTGTGTAATTGTGTGTTGACACGAAAAAATAAAAATTTAAAAAGGAAATATCTTTTCAAAAATTTCCTTGAAACTTTATTTTTTAATTGTAGGATTACTAAAAATTTTAGTTTTTACTTATTTTTAAATTTTCAAAAATTACAAAAAAAAATGCAAAACCAAATATATATATATATTTATTTATAATTTTATTTGGATTACTTTAGTATTTTATTTTCTAAATTTTACTTTCTGTATGTGAAGCTCGGGATCTGAAGGTTTAGTACCCTACGATTCTAAATTAGAATGAACTATAAGAAGAATTCAAAAGCAAAAACAA